TTGATTTTAAAAAATATTAATCTGCTTATAACGCGGGAAGTCATCTAATGGTATAGAATTTAATATGGAGAAATTGACCAATCCAGATCACTTACTCCATTCCGAAAAACGTAAATGGATTTACCATAACCCAAATAGTTTATGTTAAAATATTTTAATCTCTGATTGAGTGGATAAAAAAAATAATTATTTGTGTTTATTTTATATTTAATTGTTTTAAAATATTTAATTTTAATTTAATTATTATGAATCAAATACTTTAATTTTGAATTTCAATATTTTTGAATACAATTTGTTTTTAATTAAATATTTAAGTTAGTCAAAAATTGGTTGGAATGTATAGTTGAAAATTGGTCAAATCATATATAGTTTCGACCATTTTGATTGATCAAAAATTTCGACCATTTTATTAGTCAAAACCAAATTTTTTACCATTTTGATTGGTCAAAAACTTCCGACTACTTTATTGGTGAGGACCAAAATTTTGACCATTTTGATTGGTCAAAAACTCCCGACCATTTTGTTGGTTAGAACCAAATTTGTTACCATTTTTATTGGTAAAAAAGTTTTGACTATTTTTTGACCAAAACCTATTTGCAACCACCGATTTTTGACGAATCGATTTTGGTCAAATACTAGTCAGAAATAGCTATTTTTGACCAATTTTAGACCAAATTGATGGTTAAAATTGGCAAGCGCGCCGCACATGATTGTAGATGCCTGACTTGAGAATAGCTGAGACCATGAGATTCCAACGGCGACCCCAAAAGTGTTGGAGAGAAGTGGCCAAGTATGGTTCGTTGAATTGCGGCTCGAGGTCGCACCCAAGAGTTATGCTGAGCAGAAATTTGAGGGGAGCTAAGAGAATCTCAAGCTCCAAGTATAGATGAAAGAAACAAAGACCCAAAAGCACATTCGGAGGAAGAGTTTGACGGTAACTATACACATGTAACACACTACCAAATAGTAAAATTCTAAAGGTGAAACCCAATTTATGGAAATGGTTTTGAGATGGGTGAGATTTAGGGTTTTGTTGAAGTTTGATAGGGAAGCAAGTGAAGCAGACGAAATGGGTGAGATCAAGGGGAAGTGGGAAAAGCGGTCCTTGATCAAATGCAAAGAAGATGAGCTTTAAACTGGCAATCCCTGAGAGGTAAAAAGCTGTGGAGCTTGAGAAATGCACAGAAGAGAAAACAGAGGAAAGCAAGAAACAGAGCACAAACAGGAAGAACAGAGAGTAATCGAAAACTCCAACTTTGATTTTGGGTGATAAGTAGTAACAATAAGATACTGAGATTATTGCAGAAAGCCACACTAGGATGAAGCTTGAACAAAACCCTAGATCTCAACCTAGTTTATACAAATGGGTTTTCGCCATTAAAGTTGTGATATTTGGAGTGTTGTTACATGTAGGAGATTACATACAAAATCTCTCTCCGATATTGTTATTGGGTATCCATCCTCTGTTTATGTACCTGAGTCTTGAGGTTCTATAACCCTCTTCAAATTTCTGCTCACTATCACTCTTGGTTGCGATATCGAGCCAGTGTTCGATGAACCATACTTAGCCACTTCTCTTCAAGACTTCTGGGGTCGCCGATGGAACCTAATGGTCTCATCTATTTTCCGGTGAGCCATCTACGTTCCTACGCGGGATGTCTTCAAACGCAAACCCAGTTTGGCTAAATTCATGGGGGTATTTCATGACGTTCCTCTGCTGTGGTGTTTTTCACGAGCTTCAGTACTTCTATACAACCCGCGTGAGGCCTTCTGGTACGATCACTTTGTTCTATGTGTTACATGGGGTTTGTACTGCGGTCGAAGTGGCGGTCAAGAAAACAGCGTTTTTGGCGGCGGTGGGCGGTGAGACCAGCGGTGTCTTGGTTTCTCACGATGTCGTTTCTGGTTGTGACCAGTGGTTGGCTCTTTTTCCCACAAATGTACAGAGGGTGTAATTTACACACCAGTAAACCTTGTAGCTCTTTAAGTTCTTTCTACCACAAGCAATCTCTGAGTTCGCTGATTTATTATTTACTACCATATGTATTATTCGTGAAATAAAGCTTAAAAAGATACATTTACGTATTGAAAAGTTAAATGTTGAAAAAATGTACGAGGTCCAGTTTAAGTTAAAAATATTCTCTTAACATCAGAGGTCAGTATAAATGCACTATGGCGTTACCTAGATTTCAAAACTATGCTTGAGCAACGGGGCACTAAGAGATAGATCGAGTAAGAAGAAGATATAAGTGTTGCTTGTTTGGCAAGAAATATGTAAGGACATTCAATACGTAGCTTTAACTCTCATGAACACATCATAAGCTGTTACAGAGTTCTAAGGACATCCAGTGAAATTGCTTGAAAGATAAAAAAAATCTTAACTAGTTTTAGAAAACAAAACGTACAAGCAAAATCAATGTTATTTAAGTTATGATTGATATATCAAGGGGGTCCAATCACACAAAAAGGGAACTTCGACATCTGAGTTATGATTAACATTTTTGCTTTATCAAAAATATTAGGGCCCCAAAGCCAACTTCTTTTAGAGGTACACACCAAAATGCCACCAGACGAAAACGGAAAAAACCCAGTAAAGAGATAAAAACTTATTTCATGGCTTACAAATTTAGTACATATATAACACAAATCAAGTTTCCAAATCTTTTCTTATTTTTCAGTAAATAGTACGAAATGCCACACTATTAGATTTAAACACACAAATTCCATACAAAAAAGAAGGAGAAGCTAAATTCCACGCAATACTTGATTATGTAAAACAACACCGAATTGATCATGGAGAGACCAACTGAGAGAGAGTTAGAGGAAACATGTATTGTGGATCATCAGCAAACATAAGATCGACGATAGCACGTGAACCAGCTTCTGTGGGATGGCCGTAGAAATCCCAAAAGAGATATTTTGTTCTGTCTGAACAATACCTCGCGATTGGAAGACAAGGAATATCCGAGTTTAATTTCCCAAGTCCACAACACGCAGATGTCGCATCAGTTAAACCTGAAATTAGAAAACGACATT